AAAATTTGCCCCAAATCGACCGTATCTTATGGCTGTGTAAATTTTGGAGAACACTCTATGTCCTCACAGTGCAAGCGATCTTTACTCTTTTTTTTATGGAAAAAAACGAAGATAGGATTTAATGAGCGCACCTTCGTATTAGGCCAATTTTTCATGGCGAAGCGACAGTTCGAAAGAGGCGAAATTGCGCCCAGGGTTTCTCGGCGCATCAGTAATATTTTTTGTTGCCCTCGTTGTCACAGCATCCCGCTTTAAACTATCTCCAAGGAGTATAAGACATTTTATTTCAATTAAATGTGGAATACATTTCGAGTACTCTTCACACAAAAAATAATTAAAATCAATGTTTCTGGGGTAATTTGATGTTGAAGTGTATTTTCAGTTTCCTCTTGAAATTATCGACGTTTTTCGCTGAAATAACTTTATTTAACTCTCGAAATATTGTATTTATTGAATATACATTTGTTTACGCTTTCAGTTGATTTATAATTTGTGCAAGAAGATCAAATGTAACGAAAGTTTTCATAATCCAGACCAGGTGAGTTATTGTCAAAGGAAGCAAATTCTAAATTTTGCACAAAAATAATTAAACGTATATATAATAATTTTACATATTTTAACTGTACTTAGAAAACAACATATAATAATGTTTTTGTTGTGCGGAAGGTATCTCAACCTGGCAAAGCTGACAAGTACGTGACATGTGATAATCTCCGAAATCACAGAATCCGCCTTTGGAGGTTAGAAGTAAAAATTAGGAAAACTAAAAATGCGACACAAAAAAAGTGTTCAGTCTCGTCCGAGTGAAAGTTGTTCCCAGCATGCATATATATATATATATATATATATATATATATATATATTCATCACCTTTTGAAACATTACCCTTTTCCTGCACACTTTTAAATAAAATGATCCATCTACAAAATTCAATGTGCACATGGTCAATCGGCAAATGGCCAAGTGGAAGGTCATGCTCTTTGTCGTGCAGAAATTGCGATTTTTTAACGTGAAACGTTCTTTGGAACTCTGTTCATCATTTCGTGAAGCCCACATAAAAGCGTTGCCGCGGCGCTCGACGCTCATTGGTTAACGGGGAGGTCATGTGACCACAGGGGTAAGCGAAGAGGAGATCGACCACCGGTGTGCACTGAGGGAGATAGCTTGCGAGTATGGAAGGCTTTAGAAGATCGTCAGTTTAATCAACCGGATTTTAGGTAGCATCGCTTCGTCTAGGAAAAACTAACAAGTCTACACGCGGTGAGCGTTGAACTATCTGATGGAGAGCGCCGTGAACAGAAACGTTTGGCTTCTGGAAACTCAGGGTATCGGTAAGTGTTTGTGAGGCAATAGCGCTCCAGGTATGCAACCCAATTGCCTAGCTATATGCTATAAAACTTTTCCACTCGAATTCTTAGCTTCGTCACTGGCTGGGGTCCTTCTATTGTTTGCCGTGATTGACTGCCTCCGCGTTCCGCAGGAACGTGAACTCGCGAATGTTGCAATGTATGAAATGCCTTTTTAACAAAGCCCTCCAAACCAAAATTTAGTTCGTCTGTGCATTTCAAAGCCAAGTTAAATAAGGAACGAAATTGGTATTTAGGGCACGTGACGTTAATTGATGTCGCGTGACAGGAAGTCTACAGACCAACCGCTATCCATTCCACGCCGAAGTCGGCGGGGGAATGGATATCATATGACCTGTTGTTGCATCACCTACACCAATTTCATTTCCCCGCTATAGGCGTTTGCAAGTACGGCCTCTCGGCGTCGCCATCTTGCTGCTGGTGTAGGTTGGTCGCATGATAATCAAGCTTGTTGAGGACTCCCTACGGTTTCCAGGTCGGCACACAAAGAAAGCGTTTTCCATTCACGGTGGCAAAACTAGTTCTCGAAGCGCGGTTGCATGCAAACGTCTATATCTAGCAGGAAATGCGACCTAACCGAACCTATGCACCAATTCACTTTGCCCGCCATATTTCGCGGGAAATTTGAATGTCGTGTGACCTGACATCTCGACACTTATACACCAATTAGTTTTCCCGCTAAATTTGGTGAGTAAATCAATGTCACCTGACATAAACACCTTCAGTTTCAAAACAACATTTTGCGGGGAAATTGACATCACATAACTTGAAGATGCGTGTCACATCAATAACATTTCCCCACTAATTATAGCAGACAAAATGAGCGTCAGATGACCTGTACACCATTTTAGTTTCCTCGCTAAACGCAGCGGGAAAATTGACGGCACGTGGCCAATGCTCCCAGTCTCCCTGCTCAATGTAGGAGGGAAATTAATATAAATAAAGAATCCTTTTCCTTCCCTAAATGGACATTTTAATATTTTCTAAATTATTTTAAATGATCTCACCTGAAATATTGCAATTGATAAATAATTGGACTCTGGTGACTAAGGTCAGTGCCATTTTTTTTTCAAGTTCATATGGAATTTATTTTTGAAGCATCTCAAATTTTTTAGCGTAGACACCAGGACAAATAATTTCTTGATCTGATTCACTACAACATACATGGTTTGTGATTTTATAAATATCTATAAAACAACCCAACAAAGTACCCGCGTTGCTGTGACAGAGACCGCGAAATATATATAACCGGAGCATGCAGTGGAGCAAGAAAACCAAAGTTATAAAGCATATGTTAAAAATATATATATATAATTCAGGGATTCTTTAGGAATTAAGAGAATATTTTTAGAATATCTTTAGAATATTTTGAATAAAATGAAAAGAAACAAACTTTAAATATTTTTTTTCTTATTGATTTTATTAAAAGCTGCCACTGATCCACTGGCACTGAGGTTATTAAAGAGTATAATCTAATATTCGTAAAATATGAATAATTTATTTATTTTAATGTAATATTACATTCACATACGATGAATGCTTAACACTGACAAACATTTTAATGCCGCCATTTTTTTTAGTTTCCACTACGCTTCGATCAGACTAACTATCTTTAAATAATTGGCAAAATGGTTTCTTGTGAAAGTGACACTAATATGCTGTGGGGCACTAATCACACCAGAAAACGAACTCAAAAATTTTAACTTAAAAAAAATGACGGTAAAACAATTGTGGTTGTAGTGTTCAAGTATTGGCTGATTCGCTTGTCGCTTATTGGTCGAGGTGAACAATTTTCCGATCAGTGTAAATATACACGCTTTTAATGTGCTCGCGCATATTTCACATAATCATTTTAGAACATTCCCTGGTGTGAGTATCATTCTGCTATAGATAGCGCGTAATCGGTTTCTGGGCCCATAAAGATTCTAAACCTTTATTCAAAGAACACAAAAACAACAACAACAAGCAAGCCAGCATAAAAACGGAACGATTCAGGCATAAAACTGCAGTTCTGGTCATTGCGGCGAATAAAACTAGTTTCTGCATACGAAACGTTATTGAAGGACGAGGAAACGCGGTTTTTTTATGGCGTGAATATCTCTAAAGTGGTCACTAAGCACTAATCACACACACACAGGGTACCTCGCTGGTGAGAAGACATTTCAACACACGACCGAAATTGTTTATAATTGTGGGTAGTTCCGAAGGAAGGTGCGGGTGATATTGTTTACTGAATTGTTTCCGCGGTGCTAACGAGGTCAGCATGTTACAATGTTTCTGTGCTTACAAAGTTTGGCTGAAAGATTGAAACGCTCTGAGCCTTCCGTTAGGGAGCACAAGAGCAAATTTTGAGTCTTCGCGTAGCAATTAAGGAGAACCCTTGATTAACCGCAGTAGCAATATTCAGATGAAGGCTTCATTTAATTGTAACTTACTTGTTTTTCCTTTCGATCACTCAAATTTTTCAGCCTCACCAACCTCGAGACGTCCTCGACGACGGAAAAAATGCATGGATATCCTTCTTTGATAACTAATGTAATTTTTTTTATATCAATAAACGACTCAGTAGAATAATTCTATTTTTATTTTGGCAAATTGAAAAATAAAAATGAATCAAATTCACTTTAAAATGTCTCAGCAAAAAAAAACAAACAAAAAAAACATCGTAAAGAACGAATTTTGTTTTGAGATGAAGCGGGGCGCTAATTTAATTTAATATTAGGTTTATGACATTCAAAAGGCTCACGAGCAAAGTCACATCACGTGCTCAGTTCTTTGAAAAAAATTCAGCAGCAAAAAACAAATATAGAAAATTAAACTTTAGTAAAAAATCGGTGAGACGTATGAAAGTTTTCCGGCATACAGTACTGCGGGGCACGTGAAGCTTTGACCATATATACAATCTAAGAACTTTGCCGTTAAGCCTAATTTTAAAAGACGAGCAGTAGCATGTCGGCGGCTCGCCCGCAATACGTATTTCTATGTTTCACCCCACGATATCGACAAAGTATCGAGTCAGCAGTAAGGCATCAAATCGGTTTCGATTCGCCTTCACCTAGATACCGGAAGGGCGAATGAACAGTTACAGGTTGTAGGTAGCGTGCCGGGAGCACTTACGGCAGGTGATGGGCTAAGAATGCACTTAAAGATCTGCCTCCAGCACGCGCTCGTTTCTTTCCATCCTGCTTTGACAGCCAAAGTGTTAAAAGCAAAACGGTAAAAAAATTGGTGACAGCAAGAACAGTGCAAAATAAGCAAAGGCCAGCGCTTCTAAAACCGTCTGCGACAATATGTAAAAATGACTCCCAGGGTGTCACCGATACTCGTGCTACGATCATCTACCATCAGCAAGAAAGAAATAGACCAAGAAATAGACTCGATATTGCAAAAGTGGAAACATTAATTGGAACTTAGAAATTTGCGCCTTCGTGACGTTTTGTTGATCTCTTCTAGGCGATATCTCGTTTTCATGACCCGTTATTATTCTGTTCTCGGTGTTTCTTTACATACTTTTTTTTAGGCTGTGCATTTTTGCTTTGAGGTAGAAATAAGTCCCTACTCCCGATATACACACGAACTAACGGCGATTCCCGGCCCGGCTTCGGGCGGAGTGACGCCATCAGCGGCCGTTACCTGAGTCCAGGGCAGCCCAGGCGACGTAGAGGAAAGCAGCCACCAACATGAAGAGACCCGAACAAGTGGCCGGTATTCCGGGTCGGTCGCGAAAACTCGCGCGCAACGCTCCTTTCCTCGCGCGGGGCGGCGGCGCGCTGAGTGGAACGGAACTGACGAAGCAACTTCCTTCCGCCCCCTCTACCCTCTCCCCTTCTTAATTTCCTCCTCTCCACCGTCCATGTTCCGTCCGTATCCGACAGCGCACCTGGCGGTTGGAAACCCCCGTCGCTCGGATTCGGTCCTCCTGCGTGTGATACCTTTTTTTTTGGTATGTGCGGGGGTTTCTGTTCATCTTGAACGGGTGGCCGAGATCGATAGTTTGTACGGCGGAGGACTTGGAACAACCGAGGAGCCAGGGGCGAACAAGGGGAGCTAGCTAGCTGCCCATCCGAAATTCTCGTCTGTTGCGCCCCAGTGAAGCGTTGGTGGTAGTGGCTTCAATTTTCTCTCCCGGGATTGTTGGCGCGCGCGCGCGTCAGCCGCTTCGGGCTCTTATTTTATTTTATTTTATTTTTTTTTTGAGGGGCCAACAGAGCGCGCCGCGGTCCCGCGCATGTCGCTGCTTTCTCCGTTCGAAAGGATACAGAAACCGCGGGGCTTCGTGATTTTCCCGATTGAACGTGACCGTGAGAATCCTGAAACAATGCCCCTGTGGCCATGAAAGGGTCAAAGGAATGACCGGTGCCAGAGCAGCCCTCCGTAGGTGATTGATTCTCTTCGGGCGTTACGGGAAAGTCGACTTCCGGAAGTCATTTGAGTACACGTTTGAACTTCCACTATTGGTATGGTTCCCGGAGTGCGTCTCCGATTAGCGTGCCCAGCGTCTCATTCCGCCGGCGCATTAAAAGCGGTTCCGAAGTGGTAGGAAATGACGTCACAGCAGCCGGAGTTCCACGCTGTCCTGTGTCGCGATGCTGGCTGCTGGTGTCGGAAGTTCTTGTTAAAAAGCACGAAAGAATGCCAGTGTTCCCGTCGTCACAACGTGCCAACGGCTACTAGTGAAACTTTTGTGCACTGTCAAACTGCAGAGCGACCTGGAGTAAGACCGGCGTCTGGCTTGTCCGACTCTGCTGCGGAGTCACCGCAAGGATTGTGACAGGAAAACAGCATGCTCTTTCTGCTAAGTCAACAGGCGGAAATCGAAGGACCACTTTTGAGCATGCTGTAAACTCACCAGTCGGAGGCACGTCCAAGTCACCATACTACTGTGGAACGCCTGTTGCTGCTTACTAATCAAACCCTTTTTCACTGAGACTGAATTGTAACGAGCGCATGATCTCATTCTCTAGATAGAAAAGAAACGCGTCAGCTTTATATGTTGCTCGTTCAGCTTTTTAAAGTTTGGGGTTTATACACGAAATATTCAACGAACTATGGCGCCAGCCCGTTTCCTATTTGTATTAGAAAACGGCTAGGACAGACGCTAACCGTACTATAAATAAAACACTTTTGAAATAAAGTTGAGTCCCGAAGCGCAATATTATAAAAAAAAGAAATAGTTTTTATTACGGCTTCCAAAATAATTCAAGATCTACAGCTCACCGTAGGGAAACAAAGAGTTCCACGTGTTTACACTGGGGGCGTGTCAAATACAGTTTTTTTTATTTTGTTCAACCTACTGAGGATTTATTGCTCGGTAACTATGTACGTCAACCATCTATAACATATATCCTCTCTGGAGACTAATCCAGCCGCACCATCGGTGTGATAGCTTTATCATGCCCTGCCGGAACTATTCTTTGGAAGTGCGTTACACCTCCGCCTGGGCTACTGCTTCCAGCCCATCAGGGACTGTGAAATAGCGTCATCGCAAAGTGTTTTATGGGCCTGAGCAGGGAACAATCATTTTGCTCAGTTTCACTTGAATTCCGACCGCAGCAGACACTACCTTTCGATAGAGTCAATCAAACAGCGCCAAACTTGCATCGTCCCTCCCCTTGTTGTCTTTGTGGATTGGCTATCTCCGGCTAAACAAAATACACATAGAAAGACAAAGAGCAGGATCGCAGCCCATTTACGGTGCGTGATTGGTTGGTTTGGCGCTAATTGATCGCAGATTGCTCTGTCGGCTGCTGTAGGACGGAGAGTGAAACGAAGTATATAGGGCCAAGTGACGCTCTACAAATGCTCGACCAAGCGCCCGAGGGCAGAATACAACCAGGCACCAGAAATCAAGGGCGTCACATGCGTTCGGTTACGGCCTGATTGGCTGGCACCCAGTGACTACCCCCTGAACGAAACCATAAAACAAAAGCCCCGCGAAGTCACCATTTCGCGGTGACAGATGAGCTGCAAAGTGCTGGTCATGCGTGGCTGTAGCAAACTTTAAAAATATATTTTTTAAAAGATGAATGTTTTTAGGAGTTTATTGTTTTACAATACATATTGTCGGGACCGTGAAATTCACAGGGACTTGTGGGACGTGTGAATTTGTAGAACGTGAAAGGTGAGCCAAATCAATGGCATAGCTTTCGGCCAAAAGGGTGGAAATGTCTGCCAACATAAAAGTGGCCCAGAGATACAGCAGAATAATAAAGTGTTAATAAATCTGGTGAGTACCTCGTACGCTTTCCCCAGCGGAATTCAACGGTACAAGAACTGAAAACCCACAAGTAGTGTAGGCTAGTACGTGTAGAGTCCAAAAAAAGGTCGTGTTGCTTCCCTTCTACGTGCGATTCTTTGTCTGATGTTTGCATTATGCTTAACCGCAACCAGCTTACTTGCCTCGTCACTTTTTCCGCACGTAATAATCAGCTAAAACTTTCTTCCACCGTAAGAAAATTTACAGTTTTCAAAACTTACTCCAGCATTTTTTTCTTTTTTTTTTTTTAATAGGATTTTTAGAGACGTACGAGGGCCACAGTTCCGGCACCTACAGCTCCCTACGCCGATGCGTAACTCTGTAGCAAAGTTCATCGAACTCAAATAATCATTATTCAGTTTTTCCCGAATGCCTGGTTATTCGATGATTGAACGGCGCGCCATTCGAGAGAACGCCCAGAAATGCCGAGCAAACGAACGAGCGATCGCTCGCTTGCGCTCACCGGCAAATGTTCCGAAACAGACGCGCCAAGGCAACACAAACAGTTCCTTTGTTGTCTCTCACCCTTCACGTATATCCCCATTTCCCCAATGCCCAATTTCACCACCCTCAAAAGCGCGTCGCGCTTCTTCTTCCCCCGTTACTCTAGCTAGAGTCAAGAGCCACGCTACATTGCGCAAGGAGTGGGTAGGGAAGGCTGCCGTCGCCGATGCCGCACACTAAGCAGGAAAAGGCGGCACAGATTTTAACGAGACTCAGCTTCAACTTACGATGGATCAGAACACAGGCCTACGAGCTATCCAAGCCAATCCAGATGCACGAATGTCTCACGTGACCATGCGTTTCGCGCGTCGCTGCGTCCCTCCCTGAAGTCACGTGAAACGTTTACGAAATTGGATTGGCTTAGGTGAATCGTAGCCTCTGCTGTGGTTCATCGTCAGCTGAAGGGGAGTATAGCCGACGTGGGCCGAGGGCAGTCACGGAGACGGTGCGAAAAGTGCCAAAGCGCGGGAGCGTAGGAGAGTCATTCGGTCGACTCTCGCGCGCTTACGGTAAATGTTTTTTCGAGCATCGCTCGCGCTGGCGCTGGGGCTGACGTTGTCTGGCGGCAGGCAGCCTAGGGGGCCGGCTCGGGAGCGTGTCCCGACTGCCGCTGCCGGGTTATCTGCGGGCCCAGCCACGAACCCCGGTGCGCGACCAAGCGAAGACCCGAGCGCCGGGGTCCCGTGCTCGCAACCGCCAAGGTCGAAGACGAGGCAGCAGCAATCGCTCGCTCGCGAGACTCGCCGGGGCGCCGCAAACCTTGCGGAACGGGACACAGAACGTTTTTTTTTGGACGGTGATTTTCGAGCTTGTTTCACGGCCCTCCTTCTCTGTCCTCATCCTACCTCCCTTCCCTCCCGCAATCGTGCGTCGCTGTTTCTTCCTGACGTTGGGATTTGCTGCGGTGTGTTTGGTCCGGCGTTAGTGTGTTTGTACACTTGAAAACCTCTCAATGCACCTGATCCTCGATTTATAGACCCTCGAGCCTCTTGTTTCGATCGGAGAAAATCGTATCTAGGCGTCGGACGGGCAGTTTATTCGGGGTCGTGCGCCCGAATTGAGAAGTTACCGTTCTGGAAAGACATGCTTCACCCGTATGGGCAGAAACAGAGAAGTCAACGACTTCGCAAGCGCCGTATAACATGTAGATCGGCATTTTCTTTGGGCCTCTAGCGCTTATGTTTTGCCAGACAAGCTGCACCGCGTTGCCGCATTTTATCAGGTGCCGCAGCAGTGCTGTCCTTGTTACAGACCCATCCATCTTTGGCCTCAGAGTCACCTTACACCTTAACTGGCCACCACTGATCCATCATTCTGTTACTATGGGTGGTTAAATTATTGTGATTGTTTATTTTTTGTTCCGTTTGTTTTGACGTTCTGTTTAATATGCTCCCGCTATCCGAGAAACGTATGTAATCCCCCTCTAGACTTTAAACAAAAATAAATGATGTAATGTGCAATGTCCAGAGCTGGCCGAGCTGGCATACTCACCGAAGGACAGCTTGGCCTGATTATTTCATGGTAGTAGTGGTGCAGCGGATGGTAGGCTAGTGACAGCCTCAAGAATGCAAACGCATGACGGCAAACTGTGCTGTTAAGCGAGGCGTGGCGGTAAAGCCTGCTGGCTGCTGGGCGAGAAAATAATTGATTCTTAAAAGCATTCCCAGGTAAATAGTAAGTTCCTTGCGACGTTCTTGGTATTTGAAGAAGAAGTATTTGTCAAGGAGCTGCTTTCACGCTAGGATTAAATTCTTGAAAGTAGTATGAATGCAACTATATAAGCTATGAGCATTCGTTATATATTCCGGCTATACTTTATCGAGGAAGATTTGGGAATATATAGATTTAAGTAACATGTATCATGTAGGCAGCGACTTTATACACTATACTTTTGAAATGCTTCCTTATATCTTAGGGGTCGTAATTAAAATTTAGTTAAAAGATGACTTGTTACTAATGAATTCAATTACTCATTCCAATATTATTGAGAGTACTAACGGAATCATAAAA